AACATGGCAGCGTCGCGTTTTGGATTTTTCTCTAATATGTCGAACATCATGGAAACAAGTGACAACGAAATACTTTTCATCGTAAAAAGCACGCCCGGTAACCGTCAAAGGGAGCCAACAGAGTCAGGTAAAATAAAACACATCAGTAATAACGACAAGGTAAACTGACATATATACTAACTAATAAATACCATTTCAACCACAAATTATCACAAAGTTTTGACCAACAGATCCGGTGGTCTCCACATTGCACAACCGTAAAGTATACAAAGGAGATACAACAATACTGGCCGCAGAGTTTAGCGCCAAGTCAAGCGTTATTATCGAGTGGAAGAAGAACGACTTTACAATATACAAGGTAAGTCTATAGAAATGCGAATTTTGAACGTATTCTTTTCACGTAACGAAGACGATAGAAGTCAAACTTACGGAATCAAACCGTTTTGTCATTAATTCTATAAGAAACAACTCCAACCAAGTAGGATCTGGGTAAAAAAGCACACAAAGACAGAAAGGACTAGACTCATCATGAGGTTTTGTTTGACATAACAAATTCCATCCTACTCTGCTTTCTTTGCTGTGCCAGGAGTCCCCACAATATCACGCTGGACAAAGCATTCTTATCATCAACAACGTTCAACACTGTCATCATAAGAAGAAATACAGTGTTTCTGTGACTGACTCGAAGGGGCGCCGGGTCTCGTCTTCTTCCAAAATGAAAGTCCGTCGTGACTCTGGCAGCAAGATCAGCAGTAGCAGCAGCAGTGATTCTGACGAGTAACGCTATCCTATTACATGTACTTACAACAGGTGAGATCTCAATTTGGCTAGCTCCTGCTGTGTTATTATTTTATTAGACCACCAGAGTCGGCCAATAACTGAAAGGCAGAGCAGTGTCTAAACAAAAAAGAACAGAGTGCCTCAGATGCTGTGCTACGCATTAAATTAATCTAAAATTGGATTCGAGCCCTCAGTCTAATCTCTACAGATCAGATCTAAGTCAATGTAGATTTCTATATTACTTGAAAGTTCTAAGCTCACTGGTGAGCCAATATCATCATTTTTCTTTGTTCTGTTCCACATCCAACAGGCTTGATATCCTGCAAAGAATCTGCGCGCAGTTTGACACTCAGTATCTGGTATCCTTCCAGGCCGTGTGGATAGCATGCTCTTCCTCTCTCAAGAAATCCCCACTTTGGACATCCTAACATAAACCTAAGGATTTAATTTATTTGGAACATGGCCTACTCGTTTCAAAGCCACACAAATCACTTCTCGTTTTTATGAACATTGGGAGCGGAAGGCCGGAGGGTATGCTTAAAACTTTGAGTTTATGAAGCTTTGTGTTTTTATTGTGTCCGTTATAACTTGCTGGATTTGTTAACACTTGCTATTACAAAGCTTTCGTTATTAAGAAGACTGGAAGAATACATTTTCGAACTTACAATTTAATTTGCTCTTCATAGCAAAATACAATTACATATAACATGAGAATAATTTGTGAGAAATTTTCAAACAGTGACAAGGAATTACCAACAATAACATTTATCAAAAATCCAGACATTAATAACTACCGAATTCAAGAACCATTCCTCTTAAAAAATTTTTTTTTCATTATAAGTGACTTATAGACATGTAGAGGTTGTACTTGGCCTATGAAATGACACACGTGTTCAGAAAACTGGTTTCGGTTGGGTTACTAGGAACATGTAAGTCGAAGCTCTAGTTTATTTAAAAGTCACTTCCGGGTTCAGCTGCAAAAATCCAAAGGACGTGTGTCCTTTCCATTTTCCATTAACACTCATCTACTCAATTCAATTTTTATCAACGGTTTTGTTATAAAATATTCCCATTTGTCACCTGTTTGAACGATTATGAAAACAGTATTGAACTTGCAAAATTTACAATGTGGTGCGGTGTTTTGTTTCTTGATTTGAAATCGATGGACGTGGTATTGTTAGGGTTAACACGAAGCTTTCACCACGGGGAAAGAGTGGAAAACAAGATAGGTCAAAGAAAACACAAATACCTTTTTCCTTGAACTGGTCTGTTTTGACAGGTTTTCAAAAACATGCTGTGGAAATACATTTAGAGCACTTCATTTTATTTTGTTCTTTTTTAATCATTCAACGCTTGCGCGAGGCAAAACTATGAGGTATACCAGGCAACATATGGGACGGAGGGGTACCCCCTTACCTGTCCAATCCTATAAACACTGTAGACTATTGTTATCCAACACATCCCCCTAGAAGTCTGTAAAGAATTCCTGAGATTCCAATCAAACAATGACCGACACAAAGGCGGGGGGGGGTCTCTCCGTCCCATATCTTGCTTCAAATGCCAAGAGGAGGTTCGCAGTGCAATGGGGCGCCCACAATCAGTGGAAGTGAACCAGATAGACATGTGTATGAACAGTTACCGAGTTGTGACCAAGGCAAGCATCCAGTCTCATCAATCCCTGAACATAACACGTTTTCTATGATTTAAATGAACTTAACACAGAAATGTATTAACCATGATGTGAAATGAGGCCGAGCACACCACTTCGGTGAAAACGGAGACCAATCCGCCGAATCACAACATATCTGATGGTGTATCATTACGCCATGCATATGCAACTAGATATCATTCATAATGCTTGGTGCAGCAGCATGATTCATCACAACACTCAAGTACGCGTTTTGAAACCAAGATTGAGGATATCGTTTGGGCCTGAGTTTTACGGACAAGACATATCTGCTCATATTTCTGTAAGCATGTCAGCTGAGCCAACAGAGCAATACTGGGCGACTACAACTTTACTCAACTTGAGCATAAGAGAGCCGCAGGAAAGAGGTTGGTACCATGTAAAAATCAACGGAAATAATTTTAACAGTAAGAAATCTGTACAAATTTCATTATTAATAACAGCGCATGAATGCATATAAACTAGATAGGTTTGCCCTAGCACCATGGATATACATGTATCTCTTTTTTGTGTATTTGGTACCATCGGCTCTTTTCAGATCAACACATATTCAAAAAAAGATACATGTATATCTATAATGCTACCGCAAACCTGTCTGGTGTACTTGCTACCTCCACCATGAAAAGCTTCAAATCTCGCATAAATGCATGTTCGCATCCAACAAATAAATGTAACCTTTCTATAATTTCTTCAGTGCATAAATTTTTATGGAATGAGACCGCACATGAGCTCACTGTCCTTCACAAGTTAAGTTGAAATTGCCCTCAGACAAAGCACAAAATGTGCAAAAAATAAGGTTATTCTAATCAACGTGTACTTAAAGAGTACATTTATAAATCATCGAATAAACTACAAACAAGACATCCATTTTGATTGACAGATCCGGCTGTGGACAGTCTGTATGACTGCTACTTTGACATTGGCAAACCAATTCAGCTGCGTTGTAAATACGAAGCCGACACAAAGGTTAGCATTCAGTGGGATATGAATGGTCATTCTGCAGTATTGGATGGTCGCCAGAGGTCTGGGAAAACGGGAATTAGAATCGAAATGGCAGCAGCTAAACACCATCGAAAAAAAATTACTGTTACCATCACAGACACAAACGGCAGGGAAGCCTTCACATCGGCACGAATTCACATCAACGGCTACAATTAACTCCAAAACAGGTTAGACTTTTGTGCCCACTCAATAAATAATATTATTATATTAATAAGAGTAAGAGAGAGAGAGAGAGACTGCAAAACAAAAAGGTTCGACCTAGTGAATATATCAGTCCCATTACTTGTGCTCATAATGGTGCAGGTTTATCACGGAACCGTTGAGCATGTTGTAGCAGACAGGAAATTCCTAAATGCTGTCCAACAAACGTCCAGGAATATCAAATTTGACAAGACGCCCTCTTAATTAATTCAGATCTTTGGTATGCAACTCAACCTTTAGGCTTTATGGTTAAGGATATATCATAGTGACTAATTTGTAATACATATACACGTATTTCTGTTCTACTGTCTTCAGGAAAGTATCAATGGATAGAGAAAGGCACCACAGAAGTAGCGAACCTACAACTCTACCACCAGTCTACCAGGCATCGGCAATTCAATGTTACAAGATCTTTAAACCAAACCATCCTTAATTCAAGGAACACACACTTTTTAACTGGTCTCCATCACACTGTTATCTGTCAAAAGTTTTACCTTAACGACTTCACAGAGCCTCACGAAACTGATATCTAAAAGCGAAAGATATAGATGTAGGAACACAAAAAAGTAATTCTGTACGCACTGGTGGGTCGAACCGTTACTGCTTCTCATTAGCACAGACAGTTGTCCCACTGGGCACTCTCAGCGGT